ATATAATATATTTGAATTTTTGAAGGCAGTCAATATCAATGATAAAAACGTCTACTATTTAAGTAATTACTTTAAACAGTACATACGTTTTGCTAGTGGCCAGAACAAAGCTCGTTAAAAAGCCCGCATCCTATCCTGGCTGAAATGCCTTCAGGATAGACTACATGATGATCAGTGTTAAAACCTTACTCAGTACAGATTAGCGAAAGAGTACCAATCTTTCGCATAAATCGGCATGTTGCATGAATTCTGGTGCGTACTGTAGTATTCAAATTGTGTTTAAACAGACAGTGTCGGTAGATAAAACATAAAGTCAGCATAATAAGCTCTACTGCAGCTGGCGTTCTAACCGAAATGCAACCTTTCATAGGTTTGGTATGGTGCCGGTGGTGTTAGGCGCTCCACGAGAAGATTACTGCAGGTTGGCGCCGCCAAATGCTTTCATGCACGTGGAGGATTTTTCATCTCCTGCCAAGTTGGCAAGCTATCTACATTGGCTTGACAGGAATAACACCGCTTACGCGTCCTACTTTGCCTGGAAAGCCTATGGAAAAGTTGTGGTGAGATGCTTTGTCCTCTATCGTTTAACATTTAGTTGCCGCGAAATTCGTTTGGAATAAGCCGTCACCACAAGATGTACTTTGTTTCGTACCACCCGGTGTTTGCTATTGCGCGAGCCTTCTCGCATGTGATTGATGTGTAAGAAAATGCAATACTTGGCAGCGGCAAGGAATTAACTCTATTCCTTGGCGTAAAATTGTGCAACCGCGCTGTGCGCTGCTAGGTTATATCGTGTATGTTTCTTTTTGGTATTAAACCGTTCCAGAAAGTTTGCTATTCTTTTTATTTATTGTATTGAGAAATGTTGTGGATTTATATTCTGTAGGGCTTCATTTTCAGCATTGAAGCTTTACAGAATAAGGGAAACTCACACGTCGCGTGGTTTTGATAAGGAAGCATTTTCTGAACAGCTAATAATAAGAAAGCCGCACACCCATTTTGGGTTAGGGTTTGGATTAGGGTTAGGTTTGGGTTTAGGAGTAGGGTTAGGATTAGAAGTGAGGTTAGGGTTAGGATTCGGCTTTAGAAAATAAGCGAGCCGACGTTGGGTTTTGAAATTGCTTTATTGGCTGCATTCGGTGCAAATTGATGTTCGCACGCTCTCTGAAACCACTTATTTAGTATCAAGCAATAGGATAAACCATAAAATTTTATTAATAATATTTCCAAGTATGACGAGTACAAAAATTTACCTCATTCCACAATGACTTCATAATAAAATAGGTAGGAATTCCAAGAGGGGTTTTCTAAAGGTCCTTATGTATTACAGCCACCTACTTAAACATTTTTAAGGAGGTTGAATTGCCCATAATCTTTCAGTTTTCTACACATCACCCGTCGGTCCAGCAGGGATTTGATGATAGCATTGAACTACAGAGCGGTCCTTCGAAGGTCACCGCATACCATAACCGCTTAAGTCAGCATACTAAGCGAAATTAGCCTTTTAAATTACTCACAAATTTTAAGTAGGGTGATTTCCACAATCTTCACACTTTTGTACTGCGTTAACCTTTTTTGTTGTTGTTTTTGGTGGTTCCATTAGACACTGCACCTCAATGACCTCGCCTGAGGGTGGGGCACACTCACTTTACATACACGCGTTCGCCGTTGGTCGGGCGGGAGTTGAGCACTGATACTAAAGCTCATTTGATTGCCTTCTTCCAAGGTTTGAGTAAGGGACCCAACTTGTCCTCGTAAATTTTTTATTTTACAGAAATTTTGTGATCTTATTTGTTTCCTGACGTGAACACCTGTCCCCTTCCCTAAAATCACGTGCCCGTGAGCCCTAGGGACGTGCTTCACACATTCCCCAGGCAACCCTACAAGGAATCTCTACCTAAAAATATTGGTGGGAATACCTCTTGCGCCGCCTGGGGGGAGCGCTATGCGCGCCCCTCCGTTTAACGAGCTCCTGATTTTAGAAGAAAGGACGGGCGGGGCATGTCAGGGAACAAATTAGATCGCAATTGTCCTGTAACATAAGACAGTTACGCGAATAAGTTGGATCGCGTACTCAAACCTCGATCGGGGACACTGAAGTACGCATTAATAGCATCGCTTATCCCCCACCGGACCAACGGCGAGCGCGTGTATGTCGGGGGAG